TTTGGTGCGATCGGCCCGTACTTTTTTGAGGAAGGTGGTGCAACAGTAACTGTGACCTCCGACCGGTACGTTGAAATGTTGGAGACCTTTCTGCGCCCCAAACTGGACGATGTGGATACAGAACATGTGTGGTTTCAACAGGATGGGGCCACAGCTCACACAGCACGACGTTCGCTCGGAGTGTTGAGGGAAATGTTCCCTGGGCGTTTAATCTCTTTAAGGGGAGACGTGGGGTGGCCGGCACGGTCACCAGATTTAAGCCCATGTGACTTTTTCCTTTGGGGATACCTAAAGGAAAAGGTTTTCAAACATCGTCCTCGATCTTTTGAGGATTTGAAGGAAAGGATCAGACAGGAAATCAACCCTATTCCGCCTGAGATAACCCAGAGAGTGATGGAGAACTTCCGGGAACGTCTTCAGCAATGTATTGCAACGGCAGCCGCCATTTGCCTGATATGATATTTAAAACCCATTAAAAAGAAACTGTTTTTTATGTACTTTTCAGAAATATATGCATTTTTTTCTAGATAGCTTCGTTCATTTTTTATACCCCTTCAAAATGTGGGAGATCTTTATGCCCCACCCTGTATTAAGTGTTTGAAACGACGAACTCATACTCTCTTTGTACACAAAATAAGGACAATAATAACGTGTCGATGTTCTAGTACACCTTTACAACCCTGCACCTAGGTTTTCTCGCCGGTGTAAAGAGACAGAATCCAGAATGGCTTGGGGACATGATGGAGAAATCAGAGCATCAGGTGTGGTAGTTTTTACACCTCTCCCACTCACTAATTGCATATTTGACAGGGAATAATTAAATTATGGTCCCTTGCAGCGTTATGAGGAACTGAACAAGAGATTTAAGGAGGCGAACTCCAAGTACTTTCAAATGAACACTGATTATCTGCAAATGATGAGCGTCCCAATGCCCGAATACGGATACCTTCGACCACGTCAGGTCCAACATTCTCAATCTCCAGCGACTGGCAACTTAAGTTACCCAACGGCAAAAAACCCGAACAGAGAGAACTCCTTCAGGTCAAATGAGCGAAATCCCAGGAACATAGCAGAATCAGAGACCGAATTCGAAATGGAACCTATGGTCATGTCTGGTTTTCCGATGATGAAACTTAGGTACAAGCCTCAATTGTAGAAATTCTAACCACTTAGTCTAACTAACCCTGTTCTCCTATGTACTTCTAAACTTTTATTTACCTTCCTTACTACATGGGGTTGTATTGGAATATATTGCCACTCGTAGGATATTAGTGATGCAAGAGTATTGCTCAAAACCTTCTTTTCGGAATGCTAAAATGTTCTGGATTTAATTATAAATTATTGAGAATTGCTTCCATTTTGAATCCAATGTAATAATTTCTAGCTCATCTAAGAACTCATTACATCGAGTCCAATGTTCGGAAACCTTAAAACTGTATTGCTTAATGAAAAGGCAACAGCCATGATAATTTCGATGGAAGGAGCTAAATTAAGTCGATTTGCTGATGACTAAAATGTGAATGCCCTGTGCGTAAAATCCATGAATCGCTTTTGGTGCTGGTCCATTAAACCCGTGTGTCTGGACGTGTTCCAAGAAGTCTTTCCTTCGGTATTTTAACTATATGAGACCAAGAGGACAAAATATATGAAGGTTCATCTTTTCAAAATAAAATTGAAACTGCGACAGTGAATATTCTTAAAATTGAATTAGTAAATGTTTTGGCGTTTGGGGATAAGAGGGTTAATGTATTTCCACTTGCATCGTAATATGAAATTATCTGCAACTATTAATATGCTATTACGTTGCAATCTAATCTATCTAATACTTTAATTGAAAGAGGCCGAGAGCTGTGGTGGCTGGCACTACTTACGCGTCGGGCCTACGATTATATGTCATCATTAGCCTCATGGACCTCATTTTTCACGAGAGCGATGGGTTTTCAAGCGGGTGTGCAATACGAGGGCCTCAAGGGGTGCTGTGTCGCGAAACTTTATGGAGTGATCAATGT